TTTTATTAAGTTTTCTGAACGTATGGTGTGAATGATGCTGGCTTATCGACTGGTTGCAGTAAAATGAACCCCTTTGATATATTTTGGCCTACGAGGAAGCCTTTAATGGTCTGAGTTACGAGTTTTGTACATGTATATGGAATTTTTACATTTCAAATAGAACTTATCTACTTCTGTAGAAAATGAAAATATATTTATAAGAAAAATTACGACTCTATAGTGGACTCTTGTCGTATATTATACAAGTGTAGCCCTTATGTAAAACTTAAATACTTCTGGCCTATAAAGACAGTTTAATTTCATTTAATTAACATATTTAAATCATCTTCACAATATTAAAATAAGCAAATACTAAATTAATTTATTATTTGCAATACAAATAATGGCTATCTTTAAGAGGTGCGTCATATATACATACATACATAATATAATAAGTGTACATACATACATATTGTATTAGTTAGTCAAATATACGTGACTTGAAATCACTGAATATTTTACATAGTTAAGTCAGTTGGTAAATTGTCTCCATATCCAAATTCAGGTAGCTAATGAAGTACAAAATTATTCATACGAGTTGGGTTGAAGCTTACTGTATTACATTTATTAAGTCGTGGCCGGCGATGGTTACTTCAGGTAAATTTTATATAAACTTGGCTTTGCCCCTTTATAATCTTTGAACTTATTTTTTTCTAAATTCCCAATGGACTGTTTGGTATTTATAAAAACGATATATTTATATTAGCGACTGACCCTCGCTCCGCTTCGTACGCCGCGGTTCGTACCTAGATACGTTTTAACGCTTAGTATAGATTTCTTAGAAATGAGATATTTTGCCGTAGTAAAAAAGTATCCTATATGTTGACCCGGATAACCATTTACCATTATACCAAATTTCATCAAGACCCCTTTACTGGTTTTTCCGTGATGCGGTCACAGACAGACAGACAGACATTCTAAAAAGTATAGTTTTATCCTTTGTAATGATAAAAATTACTATTTCAATAGGATTTTCCAAAAAAAAAATTAATGTACCGATTCGACTCAGAATTTTATAATACTCTAGCGACTCACCCTCGCTCCGCTCGGGTTCGTCCCTAGTTACGTTTTAAGTTTTAGTACAGATTTCTCAGAGATGATGATATTTTCCCGCAGTCAAAATTATCCTATATGTTGACCCGGATAAGCTTGATAGCTTATCCGGGGGAAAACCACTGGATAGATTTTGATGAAATTTGGTATGATGATTCATACCAAATTTCATCATAATCTATCCGGTGGTTTTCCTCCCGTGATGCGGTAACAGACAGACAGACAAAAATTCTAAAAACTATAGATTCGGCCTCTGTATCGGTAATAACGTCTATTTCAATACGATTTTCCAAAAAATATTTAATGTACAGATTCGGCTTCGTTACAATTTTATTATATGTATTGATATGTATAGAAGACAGGTTATTACATTTTTATCTTTACTAACATCTACAAACAATTTCTCTTACTACGGGTAATAGTTCTATTTAAATCAATTCGTTTCAGGGATTTGTAAGTTTATTTATTGGCAAATGGGCAAAAGCTTTTATGATTTTAAAATTTAGTGATGGTAGTCTCGTACAAATAAATAGAATTAAGAACTTGGAACTAGTTTCAGATGACGGCTGTTTTAAAATGGCAATAAAAATGTTACTATTTCAGAAGGCTTGTTACAAGTTGAAAAGTCATTACCTAATACTGAAGTGATACATTGACATAAATAATAGAAAATAATAATAATAATAAAAAAAACAAATCCTACTTATATCATCCCATTTCCATTCTTCCCTTTTTATGCAAAGTACTTGAACGACTCTTGCATCAGCAATTAAGTAATTTCCTTTTAAATCAGAACCTCCTAAATCCTATGCAATCCAGTTTTCGTCATGGTCATAACACGACTACTGTACTCGTAAAGTAACGGATTACATAAGACTAGGAATGGAAAATCAACAAGTCACAGTTTAGACACTACTGGATTTTAGTAATGCTTTTAAAACTGTTGATTTTGATATTTTACTGGCTACCGTTCTCTTAACATATGTGATTGACTGGTTTCATACTTACTTGTACAGATGCCGGCATTATATCCGTATTCATGATTCTTGCTCTGAATGGATTTCGCTACATAAGGGTGTTCCTCAAGGTGGCGTGTTGTCTCCTGTTTTATTTTCAATGTTTATGAACTCTTTTAGTAACTATATTTCTTCTCCCTACCACCTGTATGCTGATGATCTTCAAATCTACCGTCAGACGACCTTATTAGACTTAAAAAAACTATCCAAGATATTAATGCAGATCTACTCAATATTTCGCGTAGAAGCAAATCATTAGGCTTAAAAGTAAATCCAAGTAAAACTCAAGTAATCATTATAGGTAGTTCAAGATTAAAATCTAGAATATCTCGATCACGATTCCCACGTATTTCGTTTGACGAAATACAAATTCCTTATAGTGATAAAGTGGGCAATTTGGGGATTATATTTGAAGAGACACTATCGTGGAAGTCACAGGTGGGTGAGGTGAGCAGAAAAATGTTTCCTGCCGTTGCATCATTACGTCGTTTACGCAACTTTTTACCAATACCCTCTAAAATTGCCTTCGCTAACACTCCTATTATCAATTCTTGATTATGCTGATACGTGTTACCTTGATCTAAGAGCGGAGCAATTAAATAAAGTTTAGTAAATTCAAAATCTTTGCATTCGGTTTATATTTGGACTTCCTAAATATGACCACGTTTCCGAATTTCGTAATTCTTACTTCGGCTTCCTATTCGCTTTCGCAGGAATACTCACGTTCTCTGTCTTTTATATAAGATTTTATCTTCTTCTAGAATACCCTAACATCTTAAAAATAGGTTTCAATTTTTAAGTGATTCACACCAATTTACTTTTCATTCTAACCAAAACCTAACATTAAAAATTCCTCCACACTCTTCGTCCTTCTATAGTCACTTTTTTGCACCCCTTCCCGATCTTTTTCTTCCTTTCTGCCCAAAGGTTGCCTGGAAAAGATTGCTCACTTACCGATAAGGCCGCCTGTTGTGCTATTTCTTTTTTAATATATATTTTTGGTAAGCAATAAAGAATATTTGAATTTCAAAAAAAAAACATAAATAAATAATATGTTTTAAGTTTAAGTTATCCCCTCGAATTGTAACCGTATCGTATATAATATATAATAATCATTTCTTAAAAACGTGTAACCATGATTTACACTTACTAAATTCATAACCATAATACTCGTAGTTAGTACTATATCAACAACTTAAGCAGCGATGAAACTGAAGGCAATAGCAAAAGAAAATTTTTAATGAAACTTGGCTTTGAGTATTCTTACACCGTACCCAAATTAATACAATACCTTCTTCGATGGATAAGAGATGGATAATTTTTAAGGAATTTTATACAGCATAAAATATTCCCATTTTACTCAAACTCCAGAGGGACGATAATTTAACACGACTCATAAGAGATCACTTTCACTACAAAATCCGCATCTCCAAGCTATTACTGAGAAATTTTGAACAAAAAACTCAGAGTTATTTATAATGAAACAATAACCAGTTAGCATCATAAATGTGTGCACCTGAACATTGGATCTACCTATCCTTTGGAATAAACTCAAGATCTGACTATTATTATTATGATAAATATTTTACATTACTTTGTTGATTATTGAATGAAAAATAACTGTTTCGTTTCAACTTCAATTGGTACAAAATCCTAGGAAAAATACTACGCAACTAAAAATGAAATCAAAAGTTTGTATTAAAATTCTATATTTTAGATTTATCTTATAAAGATAAATAAAATTGAAGTATCTGTTTGTAATGTGTCGTAAAATAAAATCTTTTTACTAAATGCATATGAAATTATATACGGTTAACGGTATTTATAAGAAAAACACATTTCAAAAAAAAATCTGTCTATCAAAAAATCACAATAGGTCTTATTATTTGAATACCATAGTCCCAAAATACCTTCTGTTTTCCCATATATGTGAGCCCTAAATGAAGACACACGGCTCTTGAATTCTCGACGTGAGTAGGCAACATTTGACATTTAGATGAGTATCCCTTAGAATAGATTACATAGGGAAGGTCGAAGTGAACATCTGAATTTACAACGGTAAAGATAGTAAAGGACCAGACCTTTTCGGTATAAGGATTCTTGATGGTGCATAAATACTATGATTTGAGTCAAAAAGGTATTAGACTAAAAGTACTGTCTATGACACCTGAGCGTAGGATTAGGAAATGGTTGAGGAAAAATGTTCTATATACCATACAGATGTGTTCTGACAAAAGTTAAGATAATGGAATCATTCATGTTCTCTTCTTTCTTTTCTTTATATTCTTCTAATATTTAAATATATTTATATATTGTAATCATCAAATAGATGTATAAAACACAGATTAATCCATTTCTACTTGTTTTTTATTCTTAAAAACTACTTTTTATTAAGTCAAGTATGCTACGAGTATACGTAAATAAACGTCTACACCTGTTTACTGAACTAGTTATGTTTCTACATGTTCTTTTAGTTTTATCTATTCTTAGAGAAGGAAAAGTTACATTGTACGTGAAACATTTATCTTGGTCTGGGATTTGATCTGTCTACCTCATATTGAGCTTATTCAGATTTTAGAATGATTGGTGACACTTCAATCGTGAAAATGTTTTATCTGGTTTTTTTATCTTCAAAGGAAAAAAATCTATTTTAACTGGACTAATGGAATAATAATAAATAGAAGATTCATGCGAGAAGAACGTTCTAACTATTTATTTTAAAAATATACCTACATCTTAATCGATTCCGTCGGTTGACATAATATTCTAATGGGAATCCTGGGTAAAGGAAAAGGTCCCCGAAAGAGTAACGAACTACGGATAGTAAAAATGTCTAAAGCGAAGCTAGAAGCTGTTTGCTAGCTTCTTATATATGTAAATTATTGCAGCAAAATGACGACCCTCTTAGGATTGGCATCCTGTATTGGAGGTCTGATAACTTATATTCATAAGACATATTTCAACCCAACACCTATAATCCACCATGGCGGGTAATATATCGATATTACCCGTCATGGCGGTTACTTTATATTTGTATCGCGTTCAATGGATATCGAAAAATTGTAAAAAAATATATAATTTCTTTGACTACTAACAGAACAGTAGACAAAGGCAAAATAATATTTGTATATATGTACATAATATCACGTGCAATTCAACATTGTGCATGCATCTTTGATTTACTTCAGCACATGTAGATGCACAGGGTGACCTAGAATCATCCAAAATATTCTGAATATTTCTATTTATTTGGTAACGAAAAAAAATGAAATTCGAAACTTTTTTGTCAGAAGTCTGCCAAAACCGAATTTTCAATATTTTTAAATGATTCTAGGTCACATTTAGGCATACAAATTAAAATGCCCTTTTTTTAAATAAGCCGATCAGCAAAAACCGTGGAGGAAGTGAGCATCCGTTTTTTTGGTGTCTTCGGAGTGGTAAGTATTTTTTTTTTAAGTTAGTAAAAGATTCTTGAATTCTAAAGTAACGAATTACATAAAGTCTAAGTTAAAACAAATAAATTATCCATTTTAACACACATTTTGAATCTATTTCAAAGATCCAAAGATCAGAAGAAGATTTTCAAGGGTAAGAAAAAAAAGTTACATTTTTCTTGCGCTCATATCAAACTTAAGTTTTTTTGCCGTTGTCAGTGTAACATAATTACTCAAAGTCAGATTTCTTTCATACAGCACTGAAATATGACATCCGCTTTCTAAAATATATCCAACACTTTTATCATTTTTAAAAGGAAACGCCTTGACCGGAGACTTCACGTGTTCTTCTGCTCGGGGGTGTAATACCGTCAACTTCCGTAGCTCAATAAATCTTTTGGTCTGATCCAACACGATTATTCGTAGTCCTATAATGTAGCGACTATACGAGCGAGGCAGTCGTATAAAATTGTTAAAAGGTAAAATTTGACTGCCAGATCTCGTACTATTGTAAGAAAGGTTTTTAAAAATACACTTAAAAGTAGCGCTCTTCATAAAAGTGGAACTTGAGAATAGTGTTTTAAAAGCAAGGCCAAAATCGTTTCTTTATTTTATAAGTAAAATAAATCAATTTTAAGCTTGTTCTGACCTAACTATATAAAAATGCACAGGTTACATGTAGCCATTACTTTAATAAATAACTAATTTGATGAAAAAAAATACATAGTTAAAAATTAATGAATACATACTATCTTAAACTATAAAGTGCTAAATGGTGTCATAATATTTTAAATGTATAATGTGTGTATTTGTGTATGTATGTAAGTATGTATATATATATATATATATATATATATATATTTGTTTTTTCTATGTATGTTTTCGTTTGTACATCTCCTTATCATTGTTTGCACCCCTTTCATCTCTCTTTCATTCTCTCTACCCAAAGGTTGCCTAGAATAAGATCGCTCTCTAGCGACAAGGCCACCTATTGCACTATTCCCATTTAATCTGTTTCAATTGATTTAGTTGATTTTTAAAATATTCCAGAAATATATTTCAGAAAATATTCAATAATTTTGAAAAATACTTTCAACAAACTTACACTTCATTTTCTACATTATTAAAAGTAGTATCGAGCTAGAGTTTGTAGATAAAATGTTTTTAAAGTTAGTAAGTGGATTTAGGATAGAAAGTAAATATTGTTATTATGCTTTCTGCTCATACGTGTATATTATTTATTTTACAACTAGGTATTGCCTGCGGCTCCAGTCCCTAGACAAATCGATAAAAATAGCTTACAGCTATTCAGTCTTCGAATTCAACTAAAATCTATTACGGTATGAAAATCACACGCGTTGCTAAGTTTCATTCATTTATTAAATAATAGTATAATAATATCCTCCTGACCGATTTCGGCCATGATGGCCAATCTCATTGAGATTAGCCATCGCGAGGAGATGTTATAGTGTACAAATATTCGCGTAGATACAAGTGCATAAAACTTCTAGCTTGTTTCTCTATCCCTGTCACTCTACTCCGGTGGGATGACTACTCGACACGACCGGTGAGGTTTAAGGCGCAGTATCGACGGCTTTACGTGCTCTCCGAAGCAGGGAGTGTGAAACACCGCCATCTTCCCAACACCGGGCTGGTACTGAGGCTTACTAAACTAAAAGACTCAATAACTAAATTTGGCCCGACCCGGGATTCGAACCCAGGGTCTCCAGATGTGCAGTCGTACATGATAGCCACTACACCACCTACGCAGTTATTAGTAGGTATAATATCATATGAACAGTATATTGTGGTAACAATTGGTCATGTAAAATGGTCGTATATAAAATGGAAATAAGCGCTTGCTAACTTCTATATACATATAGCATCGACGACACGTTTGGCTCAGTTTGTAGTGGCCGTACTTTCTGTGCCGGTGGTCGCGGGTTCGAGTCCCGCTGGGGTCATTCATTTGTGTAATGAAAAAGGTTTGTACTCCAGTCATGGATTTTTATATTTATAATATGTATTTATGTATTTAAAGTTATATATGTGTAGTGTATCAACCATCTAGTATCCATAACACAAGCCTCGTAGCTTACCATGGAACTAGATGGTGCTGTGTGTTAATGTCCCAACGTATTATATTAGCATGTATATTTGTTTAAGAAAAGTTATATAAATAGCAATTGAACACATTGTACTTAATACCGTATGAGCAGTTTATATAGAATTATTTTTGGATAAACACTAAATTATCACTAACTAGGTTAAAATTAGTTTCCAACTCTAGAGCTTAATCGAGAAGACGAATTGAATTTCAAATAGCTACACTAACTGCGCTGTAGAAGCTAAATTAATTCGCATTTAACTTCCCGATTTTGCAGTCGCTATTATAATATAGTGAAATTGCTATAATATTTAATTTAAGATTAGCTTTTATCCGCGTTTTGTTAGCCTCGTAAAAAAATTGTAAGTTAGCTCTAGTTAGTACCTTAGAATTCTTAGTTCTGTACATACTCTGATCTATTCACTGTTTGCGTCTAAAGAACAAGTGTTTATTTTGTTAGCAAATATTTTACTAATGTTTTTCTCTGTTTACCTTACCTTATATTTTGTAGCTGTTTCAAAAACGTAAAAACGTAAAAGATTTTAGAAGAACTTATACGAGTTGATATAAAACTACTTTTTAACTATACAAATAGTGAAACAATGCATATTTTTTCTCCCTCGCTATATTAATGTTGAATAATAGTTCATAATTAAGGGATTCTTTGAAATACCCATGGAATTTTGGAAGGTAGGAAAATTATTATAATTTTTTTTGGAAAAAAATATACTTAAGATAGAAACAATAGTAAAAAATAATGAATGATTTGATTCATTTTACTTTGACTAGTTTAGGAGAAGATAAGTTAAGTTTAAGAATAAAAAAATATATAATAGTAGTTACACAATATAAAACATATTTATGTCTCTGACTGCATAACACTATTTTCCTTCGACTTGTTCAACTCCAATCATGAAGTGTTTTACTTTTATAATATAATTTATACATGAAGTTTAGTGAATTTCGACTAGAACTTCTTTAATTTTTTAAAATATTTGGCCTTCAAGTCCTCCGAGGTCTAAATTCAAATTCAAAATTCAAAGCTGTTTATTGAAAGTAGTTTAACAAATTCTTTTTCATAGAACGGATTATTATAATTAAAAAATATGTGTACAAAATTTCGTGTCTATACTGTAGACCGCTGAGAAGATCCCGCATTTAAGGCTAATCCTGCACGCAGCATTAAGTCATGGTAGAAGTTGCTTTGTTTGGAGCCCATCCTAGACGGAGAACCAGGTCATAATTATCCTAAAAAGTTATTCTCATCAGAATTGAACCATCACGTAAAATTTCAATTATTTTTCTTTTGGATATGAGGAAGAGGTTCTAATACAGCTTGCAAGATTTGACCCATCACACTGACAAACATCACAAGCTAAATAAAAGCTTTTAAAAAGTAAGATGGAATATAAATAAATATAATCGTCGGCCTGAAGGTTCGCTCTTTGGCGTGTATCTTTGTTTAATCAACTAAAAAGTATATCAAAGGGGTTGCACTCGTTTGGAAATATGTTTCAAGGCTTTAACAGGGATCGTACGTCATGTTAAGATTTATGCTCACAAAACAACCTAAAGATATTTGTTGGGAATTACGTGCTCATGTGAAATAAAAATGTTTCTCAATATTTTATATTATACAAGTAGTATTTCCGCACCGTTATTAGTATTTTTCCAATATTGAATATACGAGTACTTGTAGTTATCCTTTATATCTTACCTCCGATCATACTCCGTTGCTGCGCGAAATAATTAATGAAGATCCAACAAAATGACCAAAAAGCCAAAAAAAAAAGTATTTGTGATATTAGTATGAATTCATCTTGCAATGTATATTATTGAATGGATGGATTTTAATTAAATAAAGTGGCACTATATTTGGTTTTACTACCCTTTTTAGGGTTCCGTAGTCAACAAGGATCCTTTGTAGTTGCGACTATTAGTCTAGAAAGCTGTAATTTGGCATGGATATAAATATTAGTCACGCCGACAAAGTGGTAAAAAAAAAATATGGGACCTCCTTTACATGTAAGGTATGATGTTTTTTTTCTCGTATACCCCATAGTGTGGGATGTTGCTGTTGTTGGATAAGTCTTTCAAAAATATTGCGGGTTTGTGAAAACAATTTTTCGATTTTCTTTATTCTTTAAAGTGCTAATATTTTTTAAAGTCGTATCCCAGCTGTCAACTAAATGGTTTAAATAAAAAGTTTTGACTATTGTATTATGAGATGTAAAATTAACAAGCGAATATTGTCAATTTCATAACTATTAAAGTAACATCGTTTAAAAGTTCATGATATTTGCATTTTAAGCAATTTGCATTTTATTATTTAGTTATATTCTTGAAATTATTTGCAATTTTATTTTCATATATGACTCAAGTTGTTGGCCTCTACAACCACATTTCTGGGGAAAACCAGAGTTGTGTTACATACATTTTTATAAATGTTATACTTTTTACTACATATTATATTAAATTTCCTATAGTAAATATTTTTGAAGGAAAAATAGAAGTTTACCCATTACCGATAACGATAAAGTTTACTTGTTAACCGATATTAAAAAAGAAGGTGACCAATCAAATTATAGATTTTGTGAGTTGATGTTGTAAGCCAATTACCATTAAATTATTACCAATTTTCATAATTGTAAATATAAAAAATATACAGAGATACTCCTAAAAAATCCGAAGCCTAAAGCTTAAACTGTTGCTTTTAATGTGCGAAATTATATAAATGTAATCTAAATTATCGTCCCTAACTTTAAAGTCTGAAATCGGAGTTTAGCTATGGTTAGCTGATCTGTACCGACAAAGTTTGTCACTAGGCTTCGACCATTAGCATGTAATAGTCAGCTTTATTTAGAAACTTCGTCGTATTGTGTACCGTGTCCGCTTAACTTCACGAGGCTACGGTTAAACCGAGCAGGATATAACCAAAACTACCCCTTTGTTACTCTAGTTGTATTTGACTGTTTTATTATACAACGAGCTATTTGCTCTGTTTCTACTGTGCCTAATTAAATTTAAACTCTTCTTACGTTTCTCATACTTTAAACCCACTAACATATGAATAAATAATTGAAAAGTTCAAAATATTGAATGAAAAATGTAAAAACTAATATCTGTGTACTAAGCTTTTTACTTTATTGCTTTTGCAATTGATATAATTTTGGGAGTTTCATTAGAAAAAGTAAATTTAATTATATTTATTTAAACACTTCAATGTTTTAAAAATGTAAAAATTAGAACCGCTTAAGGTCAATCAGTACCGTTTTAAAATTTTATCAAATGGCTTTAAAATAACCGAATTTTAAAAGCCAACTTATTTAAACATTTACCGGGCAATTTTCATGTAATAAAGCCTCCATAAACCTCCATAAAGCTATTTATAATGTAAACAATTTTTTTATACATACTTATGTAAGCATGTATGTATGTACGTATATATGTATGTTTGTATATGTATATAGTTATATTATAATTGATGTTTGTAGTTTGTACCTACACCGCACCGCATTATTATTTTTATATTTTCTCACGCTTGAGGATTTCTGGTAGAGATCTCTTAAAGAGATAAGTCATCCTTTGTACACACGGTATCTGTTTTCACTAGTTTGTTTTTTTTCTGGTACATAAATAAATAAATAAAATAAATAAAAACTTAAAAAATGTTCATTTTAAAAAAAGCTCGCAAAGAGTTCTTTCCCCGTAGTCAAACCACGTCGATATAGCGCCCAAGGTACTACGCCATTTTATGAGCACTATTTAATGGGATGCGAGTCACAAAATTTACATTATAAGACTGTTGAAAAGTCAGACGTCCAACCCATTTATTAAGCCCATTCAGACTCCATTCCACAGCTCTATTTAATTTTATATATTTTTCATAGTTCCAAATTATTTTAAAGATCTGCATTGGTTGGTGACCATTCTTATTTTCATCACCCATCCCGCGGGATTCCTCAGTGTATTCTATAATAGTGTAATTTTTTTTCCTGAGACAAAATGCACAAGTCATTTGCGATCGAATCTCCGGGATTAAAATCTCCACACTTTAAGTAAAATGTTACATCGACAAGTAGTCTCACTATTATAATATAGGAAGCATTCAAGTGAATAAAATCCTTAAAACCAGTTCATATAAGTGGATTTTATAAACACGTTCGTACTCATGTACAAAATGCACAATTAGGTATCATTATATTTAAAGAATAATAAACTTTATTATGCTCCGTTTAAAATCAAAACAGCGTAATTATAAGAAAAGCATTGCCTATTGCTGTTTTGCTCGACGTTTGTGGAATATTTTATGATATGAAGGACAATATTTGCGTGAGAGTTAATTTGACATTTGTTGCATATTAACTTTTATTTTTTTACACTTACGTCTTACGTCTATGAATTGATAATATTATAAAGACAATTGAAATTTGGTCAATTAATATGAAATGATTTCATTAAAAAAGAAATTAAAAATATTAGTGTATTCTTTATTTTGTTTAATTTTATTTAATTATTATAGATTATAAGAAATTGGATGGATGGATTAGAAAATTGGATGGATTGTTAGAACTATGAATAGCTAATTAGATTATGTATAAAAAATATAAAATTTTCTAGGTATTGTACAAAATAATATAAGAAGGATAAATCTAAAGTCTTAGCATTTTACTTCTCGTCTTGTTAGTTTGTGCGAAAATGTTCCTACAACGTTGGAAATCTTAGTAGAATAATATTTTAGTATTAATTCGTAAAAGGTTTTTTACGATCATGAATTAAGAATAATTTCAGCAGAATAGATTAGATTTATTTGGCAGATAACATGTTGACGCAAGTCCAATTAATTTTCTTGTTGACTAAGTATAAAAAATTTAAATTTTAAATTGTAATTAGATAATTTAATAAAATTCAAAATATTTAGTTAAGTAATTATTATTTATGGAGCTATAAAATTTAGTAACGTATCGTAATGGTAATACTCGTAATAAAACTATCGTTGTCTCCCATTGCGTTGGTTATATGTTAAACTAGCGACTCACCCTCGCTTCGCTCGAGTCCGTCCCTAGATACGTTTTAAAGGTTAGCATAGATTTCTCAGAGATGATATAGGTATTTTACCGCAGTAAAAAGTATCTTATATGTTGACCTAGAAAACCCGCTATCTTCGTACCAAACTTTATCAAAATATGTCCAGTGGTTTTCTCATGATGCGGTCACAGACAAACAGACAGACGGACAGACAGACAGACAAAAATTCTGAAAACTAGATTCGGCCTCTGTATCGATATAATATCTATTTCGATAAGATTTTCCAAAAAAATAAATAATATACAGATTCGGCTTAGTTACAATTTCATTATATGAAGGTATAGATAGATATCTATAAGGTCTTCCTGTGCTGTGATAATAACTTTTTACTAGGTACCTAAGTTTTACGCTTGCGCCCATATTGTTGTAGTGAATGATAATAACAGTACCAAATGTCACGCTTTTACTGTAATAAGTCAACATGTAAGACTGTCCTACATTTATTTGTACGTTTATAATAGGAAGGTATGGACACATTACTGATACTGTGCAAAAAAAAATAAGACCGTTTCATCTCTTTAAGGGATGATTTCCGGGATAAAAAGTATCATATGGTCCCGGGGTTTCAAACTATCTTCTTACCAAATTTCATCTAAATCGGTTTAGTAGATCCAGAGATTACCCCCTACAACGTCACAAACTCACCAACTTAACCTCTTTATAATATTAGTATTAATAAGAACAACTTAAAGTAAAAATTTAAAAATAATAAAAAGTGAAAAAAAATAATAGTAGGATGCAACCCATTAGAAAAGGAGGAGAATATTATAAAAATGAAAGGAAAAATAATTTACGGGCGATCTGAGGTCGGGAAGGGGATGAGGGGGAGCTTTTAAGGGTAAAAAACGGTTTTTCTCGATTTCCGGCAAAACTAAAAGTCCTATCGAAAAAAATCAAATGACAAAGTTGTAGGTAATAAAAAGATCTAAAACTTTTGTATTTACACTTTTTTCACATAACCTCAAAATTTATGTGAAAAATTCAAAAAACCAAGTTGTTGGTTTTTCATTTTTATCTTTTACAAAAATGTTTTTGTTTTAAAAAATTTGGTGAAAACTTACATTTTTATGTCCCAAATACGCTGTAATTTATTTGATAAAAATATTTATTTTTTCACCTTATTTTGAATTAATATCGAAAAAGCACCCTAATTTTCAATCGAAAATTCACCCGTCAAAATATCAGCTTTTTTCAAAAAGTTGGTGTGTTTTCTATTCGTTGAAATCTCTACTTTCCGATGGTGAAAAAAAAATGTTACTATAGTAAATCTTCTGAGAAAATGCAAAAAACAAAAAACCTTTTTTATTTCATACACTTGCTTATCATCTGCCTTATTGCAGATGATACAAACAGATTCATCCATACTGATAATCTGAAAAGACAAAATCGAATTAATAATGCCTTCACTATTTTATCGTGAGTATACCCCCATGAAAAAAAAATATTAAAGAAATAAATGTCAAAATGTATAAAAAATATATTATAAATATATTAAAAATCTATACTATACATATTTTTTATGTATAAATATATAATATATATTTTTTATGTATAAATATATAAAACTTGTAAAGTAAATTTTGTTTAAGAAAACTTATGTTAGAATTTAATAATTATTATATTAAAAAAGTATGTTAGAATATTTCAGAAGTAAAAATCTCTTAAAAGAAATAATTTTAACAGTAATTACAGCAAGTTTAACCGGTTACTGTTTGGTTGGTCATATTACTAAGTGAATGGCATGGTCTATGAATGTAGTTTGTATCTCAAAGCCTTAGTTTGCGCACGCGGCGGTGCGAAGAAACGAGATTTTTTTACGATTCGGCTCTTTTGATTTCATATCTTTATTTTATACAATAAATGTGTTAAAATATCAATAGTGCCTATTTTATCAGGTTTGTTGAATCTTTATTTATTTTTTGATTAGTATTATTATTTGTATAAAGGTTTTTTTGCATTTTAAGTTATTGATAAATTCAATATAGAGACTATTATTATTTTTTTATTAAATAATTTAAGCAATTTTCTCATACTTTAATGTATGTACAACTTTTGTATAGATATAGGCCATTGCAGTGTCGAAATATGCTTTGGTCTGTGTAATTATGGAAAATTGAAGCCATTGTGTTGAAGCATTGTAACGCTATCAAACAAAACAATAGATTAATTTCAAATTCTAGTCAGGAGTCGCAGCTACTTTACAATAGACATCAGATAAATACAAGACAATAAGAATTTTATTGGAAAAATTTATAATCATGCAATATTTTTTAAATGAAAATATTTGAATTCATGTATTTGTATTGTGGTTTAGTTCTTGATTGTTGCTCTTTTAATCAACGTTGTATTGATGTATGTAATAAAAATGTAAAATATTTTACAAATTGTCTAGCCTTAGGTAAAGTTGCTAATTATTATGGTATGAGAATTATATAAAGTATAGAAAAAAATGATGATGAAAATATAAAGTTGATAATTGATATGAATATTATGTTGAAATAACTTATTCTATTAATAAAATAAATTACATTCCATTTTGTTTTTGTAAAAACTCATAATATACTACTATCTTAATATAATTATAATTTACTTTATAAGGAATACAAATTCAAATATATATATATATATATTAATATATATATCATATGTATGTGTATATATATACATACATACATATGAGATAAAACTGTAGAGGTCGAAAGTCTGTACATAGAAAAAAATGCTAAAAACCGAGTCCCTGGGATGTAAGAAGAGAAATAACAGAGAACAAATCCAGACTTTTTTCATTTTTTTTGTTTCTCTATCTGTTTGTTTGTCTATTTGTACGGGTTAATCTCCGAAACTGTTAGACTGATTCAAATAAAATTTTGCATGGTGATACCTTATATCCCCGGTCAACATTTTAGATACTTTTCATCCCGGAAAATCAAGAGTTCCCAAGGGGTAGTTAAAAAACTATAGTAACTTATACAGCTTAATACACAAAAACTACTGATTGGATTTTAATGAAACCTTTTAATAATATAGTCCATACATCAGAATAACAAATAGGCTACTTTTTATCCCGAAAAATTTTCGGTACCCTTGGGATAGATTTGCTTTTACAATATAATATAGTCTATTCCATACTAACCGTTAAAACGCACCTAGGGACGAACCCGACCGAAGCGAGGGTGATTCGCTAGTATATAATAAAAGTTTATCAACTATAATGTGTCATTGCTTCACTAAATAAGTTGTAGAGGTTTTTTTATTTTTACGCTTACTCTAACCTAAAGACTCTCTGGTAGCACATGTCGTAACCACCGCAACAAACATGATCGCTGTTTTATAAGGGACCGCATATTATACCTTCGAGCCATTCCGTTTTCTTTCACAACCGTTTTACATTTAGCTTTTTATGTCTTACTTACTTATTTGAGGATTGTCTGTATAGTTATTATTAGACTGAGATGTTCCACTGGGCATCCTACTCTTTTTCAATTTTGCCTTGTATCATTAAGAAAGTTTTTTTTTGCTATTTTGCTAGTTATCAAAATACACAAACAACCGATAATGTGTATTTAATTTAATGCATATATTATGTATAGGCATCAGTTATTTTGGAGACTTTATTTAAGTTATAATATAACAAGCAGCACCCGCAGCTTCGCTTGCGCTAAAACTACAAAAAAATGTCTAAAAGGATAGTTTCATGCAAACTTTCACTCCCTGTTTTACCCCCTTATAGGGTGAATTTCGGAGAATGCTAAAATAAGTATTTATTTAATTTTATTGAAGAGCATTAATACTAAGTTTCGAGTAATTCTTATTATAAATATTTTTTTGTATACAATAACGTGTTTTATCGTGGGAATTAGATAATCTCCCGCTGTAAAAAGTACGAGTAGCTTATGTCACTCATCAGCGCTCCAAGTGTGTGTGATCACACAAAAAATCACGCCAATCGGTCACTCTTTTTTGACGTGAAAAAAAGACAAACAAACAAACACACTTTCACATTTATAATATTAGTATGGATTTATAATATTAATAGCTTATAATTTATGTAATTGTCTTCGTTAAGTGTGTAGATCGACGTGTAAATCGATGTTATTTATTTTAATGATAATCAATGACTGACCAATACAATTTCAAATGACTGACTCAATCGATTGCAAATATGGCGGATACAATTAAACGTAAAACGACATTTTAGTACTTAACAATTACCGGGGTTGCGTAAATGTAAAGACGAACAACGCAATGCATACGAAATAACGGATACGCAACAAATGTATGCAATTATATTTAAATTATAATTTGTCCATGAATACCCAAATTTTGTATATATTTGTGATTCGTATGTATACGTTATGAAAAAATATATTTGTATACGTTATGAAAAAACTCACGTGGTCAAGTACCTGTCATAATACTTTTTTGAAAAAATAAAAAATGGTTGGGAAGTAGACTGCAAATATAACAGTTTTTAGAACATCAAGTGATAACGGCCGGATGAATTCTATAAATATATTTTTTTATTAAGAGTATTTTTCTTACATTTTATTCAAATCGGGTGAGTAGATGTATAAAGCTTAGACTCTGTACACATACAGTTCAAACCCCTAAAAAATATGACCACCTGACCTAATTTTGTACTATTTTGTGGTTTACAACACATAAAAATGAAATGGGATGAGAGTTTAACCGTCATTATTCGATATCTATTACTCGTATAAGAATCTATCAAATTAGTTGATTATGGAAGTTATTCCTTTATATATGCAATCAATTTTTATATTCTCTATTTTACTGACATTGGCGAATAAGCCACATAAGTACTAAGCAATAAAACAAAGTAATGAATTCAAATGTAGCAGCATAATATATTTTTGTATCAATATTTATAGTTACAATGACTAACCTCTATATGATGTAAGATCAAGTGAAAGTAAGTTACTTATAAATGTCGACATCATTGCTATAATCATCGCATAAGATACGCTATGGAGGATCAAATAACTTGATACAGTGAGGAAAAACAAAAACAAAAACTCTACTAGGTTTTTTTGGCTTATTGTATGACGTAACTTGGTAAATGTAAATCAATTAATATATGTATAACGTAATAGTTTGAAGTTTATTGAAAACGACGTAGATTACTTAAAAAAAATGTCCTTACGATAAGTTTTGGTTACGGTGGCCAATCTCAATAAGACTTGCCTAGAATTGCGCAGGGGATATAGAGCACAACACGAGTTTGCATCCGTGTTTCCAAAGTCGATACGTGCTTTCCAAGGTACGATGATGAAATACTGCCGCACCTTGGGACATCCGAATCTGCAGTTCTACAAGCTATTAGTCCAACGAGGCAGAAAAATATAAATATAACTCAAATATTAAGTTTTTGTTAGATAATATTGTTGAAATCCAAAAGATATATAGATAGATTACTTTCTGATCGATCACCTGATTGCTGCTGAAATTAGTTTCGATGGAATTTTCTTTGTAAATCTGTCTATTTAATTACGAGGGGTCTAAATGAAAATGACATGCCCTCGCGACGTCGATGACATGAACAAGTTTATAGTTAAATATAGAACGATAGACCACACATTTTCTCATCAAGCAATTTGATTTCTGTCCCTTTACTTGCTATTTGCGTACATTCCATTCCATGCCAGCGATTCTTGTCTTATAGCTATAAAGCATTCATACACAGCTTTATACGCATTTTGGGACGTAAAGCTTTCATGTGCATATTATATAAATATACAACAAAATGTAAATGTTGGTAATGCGACATCAACCATGTTGTTAGTTTTTTATACCGTTCAAAGGTTATAGGGAAAGTAAAGTTATCTTATGTTTCAAGTTCTTTGTAATAATTCAATACAACTTTTTTGTAAGACATAGAACCGAGGTTGACATTTAATTTTTTATACAAAAAATAAATAAGATAAGCTAATGACATACCTACTGTATTTAACATAAGGTAAGTTTCCCTAATAAGCACCACGTTTTTACAAATACTTATAAATCGATTCTATTGAGGATGTAAATTAAACTAATCTGAATTCTGAAATGAGAACATTGTGCAAAACTAGTGTTTTGAGAAGATTATTATTATTGTTTCGCATGAGAACTGGACCTCATTGGGGAAACTTACCTTATTGGGATGGTCTGAAATTAAAATATGATACTTATATTAGAATATTGAAACTTAATACTTCATCTTATATGCACAAGTACCTATTATGGCTATTGCTAGTACATATATATTTATAATACAATACAAATATCGCTCTCTTGTATTTTATTAATGATAAAAATAAATATATTGTACGTAATATTAAAAATAAATATTATTTTTTTCAGACGAGATGAGACAATCAACAGTTTTACTGCTTCTGGCAGTATTTATTGCCTACACACACTCTGTAAGTTACTTTTCCTAATATGTTTCTTAGAAATAATTTTCAACAAAATAATTTTCGTAAAATTCCTAGAAGAAACAATTAATTAATGTAATTGATTTTATACGATTTGTATCAATTTGTGTAATATCAAGTTTCTCTTTCATATTATATTTTATATCAATGGATGAAAAGAATGATATAAAATATAAAAGAAAGAGAGCAATAAAGGTATTGGCTATAATTAAAATTGTTCATAACATTTACAGAGTAATGAACAACCATAGCTATGTTAAATATATATTTTTACCAAGCATTTTATAATATTTAAGATGTTCTTCACACATATGTCAGGGTATTATACTATGACCCCAAAATAACTATCTATTAGAGGTAGATATGATCAGATCTATGACAATTATAAAATAGAAAATAGCGTTTGTGAGAAACAAGTTAATATCTATATTATTACACGTCATTCAAGATTAGGAATGAAAGAATATGAGGTAAGAAAGGTACTATGCCTGTGCCGAGCCCTAATTGTGTGCGGTAAGTACAAGGAAAAGTAGAAGATGAAAATGAAGACTATTCACGTGATTCCGTATGAAAAATAAAAATAATAAAAAATAATTCCTGTTCGTTGCTAAGCGAATCCTTACATTTTTGACAACGATTGGACCAATACATAGATAATAAACTGTGGTGTAGTAGCTATTAGCTAGTATGTATGGCTGCCCATCCGGAGGTCCTGGGTTCGAGTACCGGGTCGGGCCAAGTTAAGTTATTGACTCTTTCTGTTTAGTAGGCCTCACTAACATCCCGGAGTTGGAAATTTGGTGGTGTTTCACCCCCGTGCCTCGGAGGGCACGTAAAGCCGTCGATATCTCACCGGTAGTGTCGAGTTGTGGTCCCTCTGGAGCATGAGAGTAACAGGAATAGAGAGTGCACTTGTGCACTATAATATCTCCCGCGTAGTAGGCTAGTTTCAACGAGATTGACATATTATAGCAATTTTTTTTTTATATTTGTATGTCTCAGTTAGATTTTTCAAAAAACAAAAATTGTAATTGGGAAACTGAAAATGTTTCTTCTTGTAAAATTGAATGACCTCAAAGATCATAAATACAGTTGAAAATGTGACTCAACTAAGTCCATCAAGTCAATTAAAAATAAAAAATAAATCATTTCCTAGTCTACCCCTATTTAAAAAAAAACTATTTTTAATAGAAACTACTGAGAGGAAACTAATTTAGTGCCATTTATTCTGAGTACGACACACAAGTGAGGTTTGCCTTTAATTAAGAAGCTTCAATTTGTACAAGCCTTGGTTAAATTATTCCCGCACTCATCTCTTATACTTAGACGCCTTCCGATCGAGGTAACTCCTATCCAATATCACTTAATATATTCTAGTCAGATACATAAAACAAACGTGCGCTGTAAAATATAACTTAAATATGTTAATAAAACAACCGGGGCCTCGTTTTATAATTCGATACAACCTACATTTTGCACGTATTTTAGTAACTTGTACTGAAAAATATATTTAGGTATATCCAAATGGTACGCTTTTAAACTAACAACGCATGAATAAAATTAATTGAAAAAATAGACTTCCAAAATGCAAACTTCATAAAAAAATAAACAACTGCAGAGTAAAAAATAATATTACGTTCTTTATACGTACTTGTAATATTTTATAGTTGGTCTGCCAAATATCAATAAAATACTTAGTGTACTCGTATACTAATACTAATTTACCTACCTTTAGATAATTTCTATGCGCCTACAGTTATCTATACATATAATAAAAGCCAAACAAGTCGAATCTGTATATTAAATATTTTTTTGGAAAATCTTATTGAAATAGACATTATTATCGATGCAGAGGCCGAATCTATAGTTTTTAGTTTTTTTTCTGTGTGTCTGTCTGTTACCGCATCACAGAAAAACCACTGGAAGGATTTTGATGAAATTTGGTATGGCGATAACAGATTAGCCGGGTCAACATATAGGATACTTTTTACCGCGGGAAAATATCTCATTTCTGAAAAAAATATATACAAAAACTGCATTGTAAGAGTATACTAATATGTATAACCTAATAATTAGGTTTTTGGTCATCTGAACGCGTGCGGAGCTGCGGGCAATGCTAATAAAATAATATGAATAGGAACGTTTATGTACGTACACAAAAAATAACCTGCCAAACACACAATCACAATTGAACACAATTGAAACCACTTCTAATTTATGCTCAACTGGCACGTTTTGTAGCCATTAAAGAGAAAAAAAAAACTATTTTAATTACTGCGTTAAAAGAGGAAAAATAACCATACCAATAAACACAATTTCGCATATGTATATAATATCAACAAAGCTATTACATATTGACGATGTGTAGCATATACGTATTTTAATATCAATTAGGTCTTTGTTGTGAATAGCAGATTATTTACGACATTAACTATAGAGTTACGTTACACATTAACGTTAGTCTAACGCATAGGCGCATGTACATATTTATTCTTTGGGTAAAAATACATACTACAATCGCAATGCAAAAAAATTGTACTGCATGAATGATTATTTATTACAAAAAAAAACTACGTTTAAAAAGACCGACTTCAAAAACTAAAAAGTATAAAATAACTTATTACAGATTTAATGTTTAATACACTTCTTATGCAAACCTAATATCTTTAATATTAATAAAATACTATTATTTGTATATTCTACCTATTGATAGGTTTGAAGTCGGTGCTAAGCCAAACGTAATAAATAGTACCTACACTCGCCGCGATCTGAGAAATACTAAAGGCATTGACTTCAACCCTATCAAAAGGAAAAACGAATTGAGAACCTGCTCCTTTTTGAAGTCGGTTAAAATACTTAATAAATAGTTTATTATTTCGTCACTTAACAGATTTTTGCTCAAACATGAATAGAAATTGAAATAACAATATTATTAATATTTGATTATATCATAAAGTTTTAATTATCAATGCTTGTATATTCCAGTACAATATCTTTTATTAATGCGTATTATGAGATATATCATTATTTATTTAAATCAAGTAAGTTAACATTAATTATTATTATTATTATAATACCTATTTAAATAAGTTTTTAAATTCTTGGAAATTACTAAAAATTCTTTGTACTTTACTTCTATAATTGAAGAATGAATTTACATAATACATATTATGTAAATTAGCAAGAAGTTAAGAGATAAAATAATGCAATTTTCGCTTTAGCGCTTTTTTGGCTTTATAATATGCAGACTGTGAATAAGTCATACTACATGTGTGAATCTCAGAATACAGGTTTTTTCTGTATTCTGAGGTGTGAATATACATATTATAGGATGACTTATCCACAGTTCCTGACACTAAAAAAGTACAAGAATTTTACAATTCAGCCCTTTATGACTTCCCACTGCTGGGCGCGGGTCTCCCTTCAGTAGGTACGAGGGGATCAGTCCATGCTCCGTCAGGCTGGCCAAACGCGGGTTGGTGGACTTCATATGTCTTTCGAAAACTTGTTAGGTTCTCTCAGACATGCGGGTTTCAACATGATGTTTTTCTTCACCATAAAACAAGTGATTATAATAATATGAGAAATCATTACGAAGCCCGGGATTTGAATCCGTTTCACTCGGTTTTTAAGGGACCGCGTTAGCACTGAGCTACCACTGCCTTAAAAAGTAATAATTCCTTAATTATAAGTAGTTATATTCGTGTGGTATAATTTGTTCATTACCATTAAAGAAAGAAGAATCGTGAAAATCCATTCACAATAATTGGCCAAGATATCGCGTAATATTCACATTATAAAAAGGTCAGTCAAAACTCATTCTTACAAGGTTCATTGACTTCAATCAGTTTAAATATAAAAAACGTATCTACCAGAATATAAATTATACTTTTTAGTGTAAAATCGGTCCGTTACTATAATTACTAAAGTTTGTGTCTATGTCTTTATCGCGAATTTATTTACCCGAAGTTTCGAATGCTTTTGCGAGAGACTAATATGTTAGATGTTTCAAAGGCATTATATTATAGTCGTCGAAACGTTGGGAACCAAAAATCAAAATAAACTTGCGAAAAAATCCGAAAAGATAGTTTTATTTAAAATGTCAAATATTCGCGTAAATCTAAGAAAATATTATGGCTGAACGGGTTCAAATGAGTATGCAGATAGGCGAGTAAATCGTTAGTATTTCATATAAATAAATAAGTTTTATGAGAAAGGAACCGCCGATATCATTAATTACGTCATAGTTATCGTTATTTAACAGGTTTTGTAACTTACAACTGTTGGTTTATTGGTTATAGTTAGTTACGTAGATATTTCATTGAAGTTTGCTATGAACATGTCCCTTTTGCGTTAAGTTATAAAGAAATAAGTATAAATTAGTAAAAGTTATACCAGTCAACGCCCTTTAGGGTATCGAGGTTAAAAAGTAAGTATCTATATAATGCATGTAATATATTGATCAGAAATTTACCCTGAGCAGGATGGGAACTTGCGACTCGAGTAGAGACATTCACTTCAACTTTATAAGAAATAGACACCTAATCTTGGTTTATAAAAAGTTTTAGACTCCAATGGCATTGACTAATTCTATAGGCAATTTACATTTTATTTCACGTATTTTTGTAAATATCACTAAATATTTGGATAGTAAATTCTTTTAAGACAAGATAGCAAATAGTCCATTACTAATACTATTTGCCACTCAAACTTAATTTATTATATTGACAAGTACATATGAATTTCGTTATCGACAAATCTTATATTGACATTTTTTGTGCGAAGCCGGAGATAAAGCAAAACATATTTAAAGAAGAGACGTGTAAGTATATTTGAGGATGTTAAACTATGCCATTCTTATATACTAGAAAATATGATTGTAATTTCAAATAATAAAAAGAAATCCTATGGTTTTATTATCAAAGATTTTATTGATTTTAATTAAGTATATTTTAAAAAGCGGATACGTTAAAAGAGCGGAATGGGGT